TATTAGATCCCGTAACTACCGATCTAAAGTATAAAATACTAATAACCGAAATTATTAGGCGTGTTAGTAGGTCTTAATATATATATATATAGATAATAGAGGTAACTAGTATATTATAATCGTCTATAATCTTCTAGGAAGGGAGGAGGCTACGAAGCTAGCTATATAGCCTTAGCTATCCTTAGCCGTATACGTAATAGCGCACGTAAGCTAGCTAGATAAGTATAATAGGTTACTATAATTCCTATACTAGTAACTTTTCTTTTATAGTTATAGCTGCTATAACGAACGAGGTAAGAAGACCTAGTTTAGTAGGTTATAACAACGAACTATATAAACCGGAAGGACCTAGTTAAATAGGTCGGTTATAATAACTAAAAAGGGGAAACAGGGCCCTTTTAACTATAGGAACCATTTAATCGTAAGCTACTCGATAGATTAGGGGCGCGAGATATATCCTTCTATTCGAATTATTAGACTATTAGTATCGATAAAGCGTTCGAGGGCTTAGTTTAGTAATGCCTTCGTTATAGCATTAGCTAGGTTATCTGCACCGTTAATCTAACGAATCTCCGTGATCTCCCGTTGCTCGTATAACTAACGAAGGGCTATAATATCGATTATTAATCGTTTCTCCTTCGTCGTGCCTAGTTTAATAAGGCATTTATAAAGGGAATACGAGTCCGTATAAACGATAAGAGGGATAGAAGGAAATCCGAGGCGGTCTATAATTATCTTTAAAGTCGTTATAAGCGATATTCCGATATCGAATCCGTTAACTATCCCGTAGATCTCTAAGGCAAGAACGCTGCGGGTGATTATTAAGACATAGACCAAGATATATTTAGGCAGCACCTATAAGTGGTAAGTTACTAGATAGTGGCACGGACGTGCCTTAAGGAACGTTAGTGCCTTAAGGAACGAAAGGCTCTTCTAGACGCGAAAAAAAACCTAAAAACTTTAAAACTTATTTACCCTCGAAAACCTCGGCTTCTAATTAGCCTAAGATTTCCTTCTTTCGTCTTAGCCCCTCCTTGCAAGCTTCCTTCTTTTATTAGTCGTTTAGTTATATTACTTTAGCACGTTAGCCGAGGTCCGAACCGCGACCTCTCCCGTATCCCTACTTAATACGAGCACGATACTGCCGAGCGTCCGGCATTACTATAGCTATATATATATACCCCTAGAGCTTAAAGAGTCGACGTCTAGCTATCCCGAGGCCTCGCGAATAGTCTTATCGCTTAGCTTACCTAGTCTCGCTTATATAGCGGTTATCTCCTCTAGAACTCTATTGCCTACTAAATCTCTATCCCGCACTTTAAAGACGAGTATAATGCTATCTAACGTCGGGCAGCGGGATAGCTATACGTATAGGCTATATAGGTCGCACTACGAGGATACGGCGCGTCTATCGATATTTAACGTCTACGTCCCCTATAGCTCTAGAGCTATACGCTCGAGCGTCCTGCCCTATACTTTATAGTCTATATACGCGAAGGCCGCTATATAGGGCAGACCCTTTCGGCTAACGTCGTTTTACTACCACGGCCTCTTTCGTTAGCATTATATCTTAATAGTTATAGGCGTTAATAAGATCGTTCTTAGCGGTATCCCGACGGAGTAAATATCTTTTATTATCTCGGACTCTAGCATTATCCCCGCCGGCGGCCCGAAATAGACCGTTATATCTACCGAGATACGATGCCCTAGGTATAACTTATCGAGGATAACCTCTAGCGCCGTATAGCTAGCACCGTTTACTAGCTTTAGCCCCTAATAGGTATTATAGTTTACGACGACCGGTATCCCCGGCATAAATATAAAGACGGCCGGCACCGGTATTACGCTATCGTCGCCCTAGTTTAGCATTATAATAGCCTCCTCCTCCGTCGGTAAGCCCTCCTTCTATTTATAGCTAGATATAAAGATTTATAGCGTCGACTAGTGCTAGATCTAGAACGCTAAGCTAGCCTCTATATTAAGGTTCTACCGGTTCTTATTTAGCGGCGTTACTATAGTAATACCTAATACCTACGGGATCCGCCTACCTTCCTAGTAGTAGCTTAAGTTAAGGAGGTCTAGATCTATGCGGTCCTACGCGCTTAGTCGGATTCGCTTTAATAGCCTCTATAGCTCTAGGTCGCTAGCGGCGCGCACTTGCTCGTCGAGCATAACGACGGTCGTGAACCTCTTCTATAGCGCGTGCGCCTTATCGTGCTAGTGCCGTTGCTCGGCCTTAAAAGAGTTGTCTATGTCCTACGAGACGGCCGTGCTAGGGAGGAGGATCGACCGCTCTTAGACCGGGCGGAACTGGTGGAAGTCTCCGTAGATGCCTAGAGCGATCGAGGCCTTAAGTGCCGAAAACAGAGTGACCATTGGTAAGATTTCCTAGTTAAGTAAACGAGAGTCTGGCAAAGCGTACGGGTCTATGGTGGTGTATGTCACTAAGAAAAGCGACGCAGAAAGGCTTCTAGAAGGGCACTACTTTAACCTAGCGGGAGAGTTAGCTACCACCTATATATTCGAGCCAAGAACGGGACCAATCAATGCTTTAACTACTAGGAGATCGGTCATAAAGCATATATATATAAGAAGCAGCGGATATACGGCAAGTGCGCAAAGGTTAGGCATTACTATAGAGAGTGCATAGTAATTAAGCTAAAATGCGTCCCGTATAGCGGACCGTACGAGTCGTTTAGCTGGAAGTGTAGGATGAGGAACCCGAATAGTAATGCTTAAGTCCCTCCGCATCCTATAGCTAAATGCGCATAAGAGTAATGTGGTGCAGCAAAGCCTGATAAACGACGTAGGCCTTAAGGACTTTGCTATGCTAGCTCTTTCTAAGCCGTATGCTCGTGTTATCGACGGAGAGGTAGTGACGAGCCCTATAGGACACTATAACTAGACAAAGATAATACCGACGTATGCTCGTAACGGCCTATGGCCGATTCGTAGCATGCTTTAGATCCGAAGTGACCTTAAGGCGGAGCAAGTGCCTATGCCGTCGGCCGATCTTATAGCAGTAGTACTCCGACTCGAGGGGAGGGAAGTAATGGTGGTATTAGTATACGTGCAAGGAAAGAACGACGAGGCGCTAACGAGCGCGATGGAGCTGCTGCGCGACCTAATCGATCGCTTCCGTGATAGGATAGGAAACCGTATAGATATAGTTCTAGCGGGAGACTTTAACCGCCACGATCTCCTCTAGGGCGGAGATAAAGTATCAGCGAGCAGATAGGGGGAGGGCCAGCCTATCATGGACCTAATAAACGACTTTGGTCTTAGCAGCCTCCTGCCGAGAGGGACGAAAACGTGGCAAAGGGCGGACGAGGAGAGCACTATCGACTTAGTGCTAGCATCGGCGGAACTAGCAGACGAGGTGATATCCTGCATAACTCACCCGATAGATCACGGGTCAGACCATAGAGCGATCTAGACGGCCTTCGACATTTAAGTACTAGAGAGAACGTTTCCATAGCGCCTAATGCTTAAGAACGCGCCGTGGATCGCTATCGCAACCAGGGTCGAGGACGAGCTTCGGCCTCTTACTACCTATAACTATAGGAAAGTAAACTAAAAGGTCTTTTTAGAATACTTAGCTAAGAAGGAATAAGACCTCCTTATAGCTATAGAGAGGGCTATAAAAAGAGACGACTTAGAAGGGATAGCTTCCCTTTTAATAAGAACCGAAAGCAATAGCAGAGGACTACCCGGAACCCGAGCACTTTAAGATAAACATTAACCTAGGGTAGGATAAATTAAACGACTACTACACGAAGCTTAACGAGACGCCGGCGTACTATGCTTCGGCGATCTTAAATCTAGTCTCGCGTTAGGAATATTTTGAGAATACGTGGACCGACCAAGCACAGGTGCCGTGGCTTCAGGAGGCAAAGCACACGGTAGGGAAACTATAGGAGGAAGAGTATAAATCATTACCGACACTTTCAATGCCCGATAAAGAGCCTCCGTTAAAGCGTTTAAAGGTAATAAGTGCACTCAAGGGACATCGGGCCTATAGGGCTTCGACGCTACCAGGCAGAAGTAACAGAACTCCCTCTTCTCAAGGTTCACTAAGTGCAGACCACGACGAATACGAACACTGGCTATCGAATCCTAACGCTAAGAACGATCCGCTGGTCACCGATCCTTCGCGATATTGGTGGGAGAGACGAAGTGACTACCCACGGCTGTCACGAATGGCTCTCGACTTACTCTCGATCCCTCCTATGTCCGCAGAATGCGAGAGACTGTTTAGCGTTACTAGACAGATGGTTTCACCACTGCGGGCTCGATTAGAAGCTAGTACGATAGGGGTTATATAGACGTTGAGGTCCTAGGTGCGAAATAGGCTAATCGAGGCCGCGGATTCGTTAATTGATGTATTAGGAGAGGTTAGAAGTAGCATAATACGGGAGGACGAGGAGGAAACTTTATGCCCGGAGGATTAGGCGCTAGGGGCCTTAATAAGTGCGGATGGCTCAACCTCTTTAACTCAACGCCATCAATTCAATCCGCGGATAAGGTGGTTCAACTCCACGGGCAAAATGATAAGTAAGCTATCAACGCAACCTAATATAACTGCGAAATTAATGGAATTAAATTGATAACCACCCTGCTCGGGCTTATAGGCAAGCCCAAGGAGGTGGCAGGCTATAAGAGATGGCTTGAGGCCGCAGTTGTATAGATAGACGTTACCCTCAATTCAAGCCAATCGACCCCTGCTACGCGCCCGGTGCTGCGGGCCCTCAAAGGTAGATGCGACGCAGTGACTATTTGTATTCGACTGTATTCGACATTCAATCCGCCGTCCTTTCTCCAGGAACCCGCTCTATAATTTGCACCCAGAGATCTGATATCGCCAACATCCCAACCATGTTAACCACCTTCCATGGACGCGCTGGGTTGTTCAGCGTGATATCAAAGTTCCGCAGTAGCTAAATAGAAGTGCATTTCATTAGCACGAATAATGAGAGGAAAAGATGAAGATTAAAAGACGGTCAACACACCTCGAAAACAGTCTTTCCGATCTCAGTTTGAGCAATAGCCCTGCCTAAGCATTGGAACTTGCCATAGTTAAAGATTAGCTCGTTGGTGCGATTCATAACGGCGAGCTTAGCGGGGTCCGATTTAAGCCAGCGCTCTAGCCGGAAGGTATCAGCATCCTTGCCATAGATTTCTTTGCATCGATACATAGCAGACACGGCTCGGCCGATAGAGGTGCCACCCGGTAGAAAGGTAGGCTTGCCATAAAGAACAACTGTATTACCTTCGGGTAGGACGTCTCTCGGGAAAAGGCCAACCACGGGCGGGGAAATTCGCAACGATTCTCGTACTATGGCTTGTAGATAAGGAAGCTGCTTAGCCTGAAAATTCGTAATGAAGCCCTTGTCGGCAGATGGCGTCGCGCACAGCAGCATCAATTTCGCGGCGTAATGCATTATAAACTCGGGGGTTTATGATAATATGGAGAAGCGCCCTAGAAATAGCAGCAGAGGTGCCAAAGGAGCCACCAATAACAGCTTTCAGTGACTCTGAATGAAGATGGTGCCCCGTAATGCCATGCTATATGAACGAAGCAAGCATATCAGACTCCCTATCAGACAGATTCGCAGCGCGCTCGTCAATAATACGATGGCAAGCGGCCATGATTTTGCCGAAGCCTGATTTATCCTTAGGCGACGAGGAAAGGAATGGTCCGATAAGGGGAGCTTAAGCTAGCCAGCTATATCCGAAGGCGAGGGCGGTATTTGCCTCAAGAAACCCATCGTCGGTCGACTGGATAAAGCCTTCTACATTAGTGTCGCTTTGGAGCATACCGAAGGCCTTGCCCATGCTAATAGCGCAGACGGCGTCGTGGCTAAAGTAGCGAACTTTCCTTGCTATATCCACGGGACGGATCTCGGTGTCGGATAAGACATACTTAGACCTAATAAGATCAATGAGGTCTTAGAGGCACTCATTGACGGATATCTCTATATTAACGTTAGCGGTTCCGGAAAACTAGTCTAGGATTTCAGCACTGACATAAAGAAGCCGGGAGCGGGCATGCCTACACCTAGCCCTATCTGGTTCCGTCTACGCTCGTGTTTCGCGTTGTCAGTTACTGAGAACAAATAGTCTCGCTGGAATTCGAGTCTCATAGCGCTAAAAAACCACTTAGACCGCTTATAGCCAGGCTTGCTATTGACATAAATCCAGACGTCGGGAGAAGATATAATAAGTAGATTTGGTGCCACTCTCGCAATAGGCCCTGGAGCGGAACACGATAGACATCAGCATCTTAATGCATAGCCAGGACAAGGAGTCAAAAGCTAGGGCGCACCATGTTTTTCGATGACTTCCGTGTACTACTCGTGGCAATTATTCTACGCAATGGCTTTGCCGTATGGCCAGCTGCAAAAGCCGGCCCATCTCGGGCCGCTGAATTGTCGCAGTTGTCGCAACACCCGCACCCTGGTGGCAAGGTAGAGGCCGAGAGTGCATAACACGGCAAGCAGTGTCAGTTCAGAAATTAGAGCAGAAACAAGCGCACACATAATTGAACCAGCGGTGGATTTTATCGCAGATATTTGCCGTACCCGTGGAATCTCCAAGTCATGGAAAGAAGAGTGAAATGTGCGTTGACCACACCATAGCAAGGGGTCGGGACTTTAATAAGGCCCGTTTCCTTAGGACTTATTGTGCTAAACGGGAGACAATGGGTACATAGATCTGCGTCATGCATATAGCTATTCTTGCAGTAATCCAGCGTTAAGAATAAGTCACGTCGTTCTTTCCGTAGGGGTCAGAAACACTCTAGCCAGCTTGAGCTTGAAATATTGTCTAATCTCTCGCCCGAGCATGCCTTTTCTCCAAGACAGTTCAGTTTTCTTTAGGTTTCGGGGCACCGGTTTCGCTACTTAGGGATTTGACGCCGTTAACATCTTACTTTTAAGTCTCGTGGGCTAGAACAAAGCTTCAGTGTTTTAACCCTGGATGACCGCGGAAGCTTGCTAGTTAGACATGGGCGTGCCGAGCCTAAAAGCACACAGCCCGACGCCAGTAATCAATCACTCTAATCATATCACAAGAGTTTCCAAGAATTATTTAAACGGCTATATGGTTATGTTAACGCGAATGCTCAACTAGCCTTTCGTCGTTGGCTATGCCATCAAGATGACTGCTTGATCCCTAACCTCAAACATCTTCTCTGCGAAATGCTCCCGTAAGACAGGCTTAAAAGCTTCCTTCATGTCGCCGCATCTTGGATAATCCTTATACCAGAAATCGGTTAGCACAGCAGCGGCCGTTGCGCAGCGTGCCGACATGTCTTCCTAGGGAAAGTTGCAATGTGCATCCACTCGTGCAAGTTTAATGTTTCCAAAGCCATGTTGCGTCAATACTTTCGAGGCAGTGGCGAGAAGCAGACCTTGGTGGTCGACGATTGCTTCTTGTGCAATAGGAGGGCAGACTTTGTTGATGAGGTTCACAACTTCATTGTCAGGTGCTCCTTGCACGATGATAATACGAGCGTTTGGCTTGGTCGCATCCACCACTCGCGCCATCTCAGACAATGACTTCTTAAGATCATCCACATAATATAAGATCTAGAGAGCCACGACAGCGTCAAACTAATTGTCGCCGTACGGAAGATTCTCCGCTATTCCATGTTTGATCTCGATGTTGCTTTCTTGGCTGTTGTTGGCGAGTATGGTGTTTCTTTCGCCGTTTGGTTCGATGGCATAGACCCTGCCAAGCATTTTCGAGATAGCTACGGGCAACTCTGGCAAGGATGATTAGTTGCTGCTGCTGTGTTTGAAGTCCTTGGTTAATTTCGGCGGCAACTCACCGCTATGGCCACTGCCAACATCCAGGACCTCTTTATTTAATTCGACGAGTTTGAGTACTGCATCGAACTTATGGCGAGTCAGTGTTGCTGCGAATGGCCGCCACGCACTTTGACTCAATAAGTGAGCAGGGCGTCGAAATGCTGGCAAAGGATGAGGCCCAAAAAGAGGCTCCAGACTTGTTCTCTGAGCGGTAATAAACAGGTGCCTTTCATTTCTCCCGCCGGCGCCTTTGACGTTAAAGCTGTACCTTTCAACGTTTTAAATTGAGAGTCCCGCCTACTGTAGAAGGGCAAGCCATCCTTTGGTCGAAATCAATGTCGCGGCTATAGATCGCTCCATGAATGAAGTCTTAATACGCTTAACGTATTCGCCTATTAGTTAAAGTTGAGATGTGTTTTCCAATAGGTCCTCTGTAGGGATTGTTCCTAGAACAAGTACACCTCCGGGACGCAGCCAGGATGCCATTTTAAAGATCAAAGAATATATAGACCGGTAAGAAACTTGAAATAACGAGTAGAGCGCAACCACGGCGTTAAATTGTTAGTTCGGTTCGTAGGTAAGCATATCGGCTTTCTAAAAGGTCCCACTAACGTTTTTTTGGCATAGCTTAATCATGTTCTAAGAAACATCAATGCCAGTTACTCTAAATCCTATCTTAGACAGATACGATGCTGGTCCTCTAGGGCCATATCCGACGTCTAGGACCGATGCTCTAGCTCCTTGATAGTGTTTAAGCTGGTTCAAGGCTTTATAAAGCCCATCGTTGTTTCTATATGTATCTTTATAGGAATCAGCGACCTGGTTAAAGAGGACTTTAGCGGCCAAAGGAGTTGCTATGGCAGCTATTGTGAGCAAAAATAAAATAAAATGCGCGGTCTGTCCGTTGGCAAGAACAGTGTCACTGGTGATCCCCTAGATTGCAGACTTCCGGGTGGCCTGAAGCACATTTACGCCACTCGGTGCTTCCCAGTAAGCTCTCACGCTTATTATGATCCAAGCCTGCGTCTCTAGCTCTAATGTCCAATCAAATGATAGGACCTGATCCGCATAGGAGTAGAAAAGGGGGCGGTCGTGCAGAGAGACTTATTTACCCGGCCATGGAAACCCGCCCACGATGCTTCAAAGCGGGGCAACGCGGTAAGACACACAGCAAGGGCGAAGAGGGCATGCCCGCTAAACTCCAAGGGGGCAAGTCTCTACCTATGTCTGCCGGAGATCGGCTCCTAGGCATGGAAGAGTAGCTGAATCCTGATTAGTAGCGTTCTTTTATGAAAAGAGAGACGATATAAGGAGGAAGGAGTCTTAAGCCTCTCGATTACAGCGAACTATGCAGCTAGTCGAAATGGAGGTATTCGTCTAGCTAGTGCAATGGAGATGGCTCCTGCCACGTCACGTTCCCTAGTTTGCTCTGGCTCGAAGGGACTGATCAGAGGTCACTATGTTAGGAATTGGGCCATATAGCTAGAAGATATCTCTCTGCATGACCTGTCGTTCCTCTGATTGCTATTACAGATCAAGATCTAAATGGCATGCCAGGCAAGGCCTTATCTAACAACCATCACTGAGACTAATCTTAAGCACTGCAGATCCGCCCTGTCCCTGCTAGGTCGTTTGTCTCGTAAATCGTTCGCTGCTGCGTTTAATTAGTGCATCCCATTCTGCTTCACTGCGCGAATATGTGTTCAGACTCGCAATTATATGCAGATCCAGCATATCGAGCATACGGGGACGCCTATCTCCGCTAGTCGGCGGGTCCACAAAGTCATGGATCAGAAGCTTCGACGAAGGATCCATTGCTTTAAGCACGGCTGAAATGATTTGCACACATTTTCTATGAGGAAAGCTATTTAGCGCGGCCCCTGACTGCATGGTTTAGCTACGGCATACTCATCTATGTTGTCCATCAAAACATAGCTCAATAGGTAGACGCTTGCCGCTTTCCGAGGTTGCGGCTCGTAAAAGTCGTGAGCCTCCTAGGTTACTCGGTTCGAAACGCCTATTAGGAGAGCCACCTTTTAGGCTGCAGATACGACACTTGCGTGGTCTTGAACAATATATAGTATCTGCGGATATGCTTGTGCTAGACGAATTGATTGCTGTCTATTTCCACCTCCGATGTCGACGAGTATAGAACCAGGCGGCAGTTCGTGAAAGGGAAAAATCTCCTCGATTAGCTTATCCAAGGGTCCGTTATAATGCCTAGCCATGGCGTGCGCGAATCGTTGGCCGCGGTTTGTGTCAACAGTATGGTATTAGTCATAGAGTGTGAGGTCAGCTTTGGAGCGTTAGCCTTTGCCTAAGCCACACTACAGTTGTCCACTAACTTTGAAAAGCCGCGTAGAATGCCGCTTCTTGAGGGCCCTTGATATGAAACTTGTTTTGGGACATGGTGCGCGAGAGGTAGGCGCCACACAATAGACCATCATCTACTCTGCATGCCCATCATTAGTTATTCGATCTCCCCAACACGACGCGCAGCGCTGTTTTATTTTACCGAGGCGGTGGGTTACTTGCAGGTAATGGACTAGGCTTCTAATATTCTTGTTCTGCAAGCATAGGGAGTGCTTATTGTGCCGAATAACTCCAAGCTCGGCTTCTTCGAAAATCGA